TAGTGGTTATACTGCACTTTTGTGATGTAAAAGTCACTTCACCACAAACATAGCAGAAGTTATCTGCACTGTTCACACAAGTACGAGGTATCTCTGCTCACTTTGGCTAAACAGAAATGTGTCCCTTTGCAAAATCAAACACTGACAAATAAGAGAGCACAACACTGTATGATTTCTAGAGCTGATATAGGGCAATTTGTTCAGCAGAGTGATGTAAGCTTCGTTATGATTGCATCATCCATGACTTCTAGGAATGACATGATGCAATTCATATCATGTATGACGCAATATCAGCTTCAGATTGCATCATTCATTGTTTTGCCTAAAAAGCAAGTACTGTCCAAACCCAGTCATAGATTTATTCATAGATCCAGTCAGTCAAAGATGTATTTTAGTCATTTCTGGTTTAAATTGAGATCCCTTCCCTTTATAACTCACTTATCCTCCGCTATTCCCAAGTCAAGGGTCGTATATACTGACCCAATAGCATATCTTGAAAACTAGAGCCAATCAATGCATCATTTTCGTTCTCAGTGACCCAGAATTAGTAAAGTTTGACTACATTTATTTCAGAAGCATTTTGGCTGTAGAGCAGTGTTATCTCTGCTAACACCTTCTCTTGGCATAGATTTGATGAGGGAGAGACAGCAGTGTGTACCTCAGATGTAATCTGGAAGGAAAAGTCTCCAAGAGATTCCATCACAGGGGGAGAAGAAGAAACTCTCTAGGTTCTGAAGCCATATGAGTTCCTGTCAGTCAGTCCCTAGAACAGGGAACTATAACAACTAATATCTTGAGGAACAGGTTTTGATATCTTTAGTTTTTATGATTCTACTAACTGTTAGGCTTTCCTGTTGACCTAGTGTTACAGTAGCAGTAAAATTATAAATAATGGAAACAATAAGTCTAAAACCTATATTAAAATGCTGAAAAGAAGAAATATTTTGAAAGCAAAGCTCAAACTAGTGATTTACTGCTTTATAAACAAGCAAGGTAAATCAAGATGGCTAGTACCAGACAGAAGCGTGAAAACAAATGTGAATTCTGTTTTGCTATAAACTAAGAAAATAAACAAAATTCTCGTTAAGAAAAGTAGTCTTACCCTAAAAGTTTTTCACGAGCGTTCTCTTGCAGCTGTGCAATTCTCTCTTGCCCCAAATACCTTGGGCCATTTGGGCCATCACAAACCAGTTTGTTAATGGCCGTTCTTAGGATGTTTATCTGTGAACATTTCAATGATACATAATAATGAGCAGCCCAAACAACATTTCCAGTTTAAATTCAGAGTATACTTAGGGATGTGTGTGTGTGTGTGTGTGTGTGTGTGTGTGTGTGTGTGTGTGTGTGTGTGTGTGTGTGTGTGTGTGT